AGGGAGAGCAGACGCAGCCCATGACAGAGACATGCAAAGCTAAAGATAAACTTAATAGCAATAGCAATAGGACCTAGACTTATATACTGTTTCACAGTGCTTTAGAGCCTTCTTTAAGTGAGTCAGCCTATTGCCCCCAACAATCTGGGTCCTCATTTTACTGACCTCAGAAGGATAGAAGGCTGAGTCAACCTTGAGCCGGTGAGAATCAAACTGCCGGCAATGAATAATTAGAAAAAAACTTAGTCCAAAATACTTTACTGTAGCTATTTGGATGCGTTGGAAATAATTTTTAAAACATTTCTTTAATAAATTAAAGAGACAACAATGTTTGTATTCATTCAATACTATTAAGAATGTATTATAAGATAAAAATTGAATTGAACTGAATACTTTTTGTCCAAGTGTGATTAGACACACAAGCAATTTGTACAGAGAAAAACATATAGAAAAATAAAACATATAGAGAAACGTTGAGTATGGAAATTCTCAACAATTATATAAATTGCAAAATAAAAAATTTTGAAAATTTTTTTGAATATAAAGCAACTTTATTAGAGCAGAAAAGTACTTTCACTTTTTAGTGTTTTCAAGTTTGCTAGTTGTTTTTTCTTTCATGAGTTGATCCTTTCACTAGCAAGCATAGTTTGCACATGTTTGTTTCTCTAGATTTGTGATTTTTTCCCCTCAAAATCATTCTGATTACCAGTCCTAATCCTATTTATCAATCTTGATGTAAAAATAGGTAATTTTCTAGCAAGTAATCATCCCTTTCCATGCTGAAGAGATGATAGATGACTGATGGGTAAGACTTTGATCCTCTTATCTTTAATTATCTTGTGCCTCAGATTTAGGATTTGTCAGCTGGGAATAATATTCATTTTGAGACCATTCACCTTTCCACAAAGGGTAACGTTTAATAACTCTCATCTATCAATATCTCTCTGTATTTTATTTATATTATATGTTGCTAAATGAGTTATGTCCTTTGGCATAACATATTTAATTGATCTGGTACATTTATGGAATTGATATTTCTAAAATGGATGGGTAACTAAATTGTCTTTATTTTTGGTTAGTAAACTCATTTATTATTCTTTTTTTATTTAAAAGATTAAAATATAAAATCTGAAGGAAAAAAAGTAACAAAGACCAAACAAAATTAGACAGGAACATTAAAAAATGTGAATTAAAAGGGCAAAACCCCCCAAAACACATATTTTTCCCCCCTGGGTTGAACACTGACAAATATATTGCAACAATAATAGCTTCCTCCCTTGCAATACAGATCCAAAATCTATAAAGTTCTGCATCTCTTTGCAACTCAATTTGACCTGTCATACATTATTTATATATATATAAAAAATAGTTAACGGATTAATCAACCACAAAGTTAACATTCCAGGTCCTCTGTTAACAATCTGCTATGTAATTTACTTGTGAGAAGCCTACAAAGCTTTTTATTGACCACTGGATCACCCCAATCATTATCTCTGAAAATTTAATGCAGAGAGAGGGAGGACAATACAATTTAATAGGTGCATTTCTTCAGCAACCAGCTCCTTGAAACAATTAGCTCTCTTCACTATTGTATAGTTCCAATGAAGGTTAAACAGAATCTTTATTAATCATGAAATAATTTCATAGGGCATGATCAAGAAAGAAAATCAGAAAGGAATTACACAGAAATGTATTTCTACAGAAATTACCACAAAATAAAAATGAAAATGAAAAGAATATCAAAGACAGGAGCAGATTAGGTTAATGGGACAACAATCTAGAGATATCTCTCCAATACTTTTTCACAAAATGATATTTCTCTTTATATCACAAAGGGGGATATAAAGAAATTGGGGCACTCTTTTTGGAGGCAATAGATAAGTCTTTTTCGCTCCCAAAAGAATGAATGCTATCAGGAGTTCAGTCATGCTGAGCTTTTTGTCTTTGATAGCATCCTTGATTTTGTTAATCAAGACCTATTCAACTGAATATTTCTGTTATTAGTACACATTCTGGTCACAACCTAAACCTAAACCTAAATCTCTAAATAGAAATGATCCTTGGCTCCATTTGTTGAGAAAGGTATAGTTTATTAAAGGTCAAGTGCACTGCAGTATTGCACGGCCAGAACTGAAAATTGCATGCCAAAATTCCTAAGTTCTACTTACCCCTCCCCGCCCCAAAAGTCCCTTGCTGCTCACCCCACTGTAACCAATCAAGTCCATGCAAGATGTTTTCATAATGGTCATTCCAAGCTCAGCTTGGTATATGGTTCCCTCCTTCTTCCAGCTGACCTTGGGGCAGCATCTTGAGGAGGTACAGTCTCTACTTTTGATTACCCAAGCATCCCCCTCCTCATCCCCCCTCCTCACCGTTCATGGTAGTCTGTTACTGCATAACAGTGAAGCACAGCAAGCATAAGATGACAGCTGATACTATGCACACTTCAAATGTGTACATTCTACATGTAAAAGACAACATAATTTCTATGTATCTGAAACACCACCAAATCAAATAAATTAAATTCACAATTCTTTAATTTTTACCATTTCATGTTACATTACTACAGATATGAAGACTTGAAACAATTAAGAAATCTTCCTTCAACCTCCATTTTTGCCTTCTAAGCCTATATCCCCGTCCATAAATTTTGGAAAGCATAAAAACAGTCCAATTAGATATTTCCTTTTAAAATAATAAATAATACAAGGTACTCATATATTATTATCTCTTATTCTCCTGCAAACCCATGATTTCTATTAACTTGTGACATCAAAAGGGAATCAGAGGGACCAAATTTCCTTTATACAGAATTCATCATAGTTTTCCAGTAAAAGAAAAAGGAGGCACACCTGTTTTAACTGTGGAAGTACAGATGAATCCGTCTCTTATTTGCCTGTGGGCCTGCCTGATGCTGAATTTCTATCAAGAGACTAGTGGATCTGCTGTTTACAAGGTCACAAAAGACAGAAGGAATGCAAAGTACCAAAAGAACATTTTAAAAACATTTTAAAAAATTCACCAAGGGAAGTATAATTATTGTCTGATTAAATTGCACTTTTATATTTAATAAATGTCAGACATGATGCTTATGAGAGTAAACCAAGTTAAACATACGATATGGTACAATAACAAAGTGAATTAAAATCAATAAAGAGTCCTATAAGGTGAACACCAAAAATGAATTTTATTGTTATCTCAAATATTTCCACTTTTCCCTCCAAAGGGAAAAATAATGATTTTGTGTAGTATAAAAATTTCCAGAACATTGACATTCGTTCAAACTAACATGCCTTGTTATATATTAGTATTATGACCTTCAAATATTAATTTTAATAATCATGGAAAAATATCCTAATATTCAGAGTAGGACAAAATCTCAGCATTTTCATTACATGGCAGTTCCCACTGTTTTGAGGAGCAGGCTCTACTGGCACAAATCATTAGTAACACATTTTGAAATAAGCTAAATCAATCAGATGGAGGCAGGGCTCCTCAAACTTCTAATCTACCATTTCTAGTGATTTTGAATGCCCTTAAGCAGAGCCCACCATTCTCTTTCAGTTAACTCAGTATTTCTCTGGCTGAATTCTGGGAGTTGAAGTTCACACCTTTTAAAGTTTCTAAGGTTGGGAAACTCTGTTAATTGATAAGCTGAATGTAAAAAGATATCAAAGAACAGCCAGTACAGTGGACAATAAAAGGACTACTAGCCTGGGTATTATTAGGTTGGATGCATTTTGAATGAGTGTCTTTTGAGTGGGTGTTATTAGATTGGATACATTTTGAGAAGACACTACTAGAGTGGATACATTTTGAATGGGTATTAGTGGAATGGATACATTTTGAATGGGTACCAGTGGAGTAGATACATTTTGAATGGGTACCAGTGGTGTGGATACATTTTGAATGGGTACCAGTGGAGTAGATACATTTTGAATGGGTACCAGTGGAGTAGATACATTTTGAATGGGTACCAGTGGAGTGGATACATTTTGAATGGGTACCAGTGGAGTAGATACATTTTGAATGGGTATTAGTGCAGTGAATACATTTTGAATGGGTACCAGTGGAGTGGATACATTTTGAGTGTGTACTTTGCCAGACTTGGGTTTGTTGTTCATGTTGTCCTCCATTACATCTTTGATCCAGTCAGAATAATAAGGCACTGAAGTATAGACGCCAGGGAATATTTTACTAGCACATCCAATTCCCCAGCTCACAATCCCAGCTTGAGTCCACCTTCCTTGGAGTTGGCAAACCAAAGGGCCTCCTGAGTCACCCTGGGGAAGAAAGATATAAACAGGGGGGGGGGGAATCATTGCTATGTATGTCAATGAGTTGAAGCGAGGTCTAACTCAGTTCATTCACATCCTCAGCCATTTATTTCTCAGATGAATCACATTCTCACTAATTTTAGCCATTACAATTAATTCTTATTTAGCGATTGCTTCAGGGCTTTTTTTCTCGGAGAAAAGGTGGCGGAACTCAAACCTGGCCACGCCCTCATCAAACCCTAGGACCGCCCCTTTAGAGAACAGGAATGCAAGTAAAATTTGGGAGGGGCTATTTCCGGTGTGGGAGGGGCTATTTCCGGTGCGGCCGGCCCGGAAAAAGGTGCCGGAACGCGGTTCCGCCGCGTTCCGGCT